TTTTAATTTTGTGCTTAAATTTTGTGGGCTGCTCGTAAGTGGGTTGCAAGGTGAAATTTTAATGGCCATTCACAAAGAATCATTTGGGTCACATACTCTACATAAATATATTAGCTGGAACCCATTTTTTTTTTTTTTGACTGCTTTAAATGAAATGACAGAGTCAAACTAGTGACCATGACAACAGTTGAATTGTGTCTACTAGTAATTAATCATTCTCCTAAATTTGTTTTAAATAAGAGACCATTAAGAGAAAGATCACTCAGCTTCCTTATTACACAAGATATTTCTTCTATTAAAAAGAAAAAAGAAAAAAAAAGATGATTCTTAGCTTCTTCATGAATTAAAGAAGATATTCTTTGTACATGATTGAAGCTTTTTCTACAGCAAGACAATCAGTACACTGTAATACACACAAAAAAAAAAATCACACACCCATGTTGGTGCGTGTGTGTCGATGAAATGACGATCAACAGATGTCGCTGTAACTTTCACAGGGCTGTTTCTGAGAATTCGGGGCCCTAGGCGAAAGTTAAAGAATAATTCAAAATGGGGGCCCCTATTTGAAAAAATAATTTGTTTATAAGGATGTTCGATTCGAAATTAAATATACTAAAAGAATATAAATAACATTTTATAAAAGTGATGAACTAAGAGATTACGGGGGTTAGGGGGCAGCACCCCCAATTTTTTTTGGAAATGTATGAATAAAAAATAACTACAATATGAAAAAATTTCAACATTAACCGAATGATTTGCTAGTTCACTTTCTACCGTGACATATAATCATTATAGCAAATAAACTTCATAAATATTTTATAAAAAGAAACTTGAATAAACTAATGAATATTGATTCAAATTTTAGGAATAAAAATAAGTAATTTAGACATTTATAAATTTAATATTTTGGGGCCCCGAAGTTAAGAAAATAGTAAAAATATCTACTTGATCATTAGTTTTAAATTTATTTTAGGATTGATGTTCCAAAATATTATATATAATAAATTTTAAGAATAAGTACTGACTACTGATATATAAAATGTATAAAAATATTTGGCGGCCCTAAATTTTCATAAAAATTCGGGGTCGCCGGGGCCCTAGGCGACCGCCTGCTTCGCCTCCCCTCAGAACCGGCCCCCAACTTTCATGAGGTGTAGCATAGATCGATCGACAGATGCCGCTGTAACTTTCATGAGGTGTAGCATAGATCTGACGACGTCAAAACTATATTCATTAACACACAAAAAACACACACCCATATTGGTGTGTGTGTGTCAATGAAATGACGATCGCCAGATCCCACTGTAAACTTCACCGGGTGTAGCATAGATTCGACGAGAATCAAAATTCAATATACATATCTTCCGATTTAGAATTAGAAACGGCTAGCGCCAACTAACCGTTGTAATTGAATGCTAGATCTATCTTTCCCAAAGTTGTTTCAAATAAGGCCCACTCTCTCTTTTTTTACTTAATAATCAGTTTCACACTATTCCCATTTCTTTTGCCTCTCTTTCATCTCCCTTAATCACATGCCCAATAGCGACACTTGTTTGCTAACTTAGGTACAAACAAATATGGCAACATGTGTATCATAATCACAACACCACATCGTCTTTCCCAACTTCTCAATCGAAGAACGAATCTTTCTTCGTAATCGTCTCATCGAAAAAAGGAAAAAAAAAATGAATTCTTTCGCCTCATCGTCTTACATTGTGTCGATTCTCCTCGTATACGCTTTCTCACCTTCGATATCTTCTAGTTCTTCATCTCTCACCATCTCGATATTCGACACGATCCGACATCCGGATCCATACAAGAGGCTCACGCACTTGGCTACAACTTCAATAGCAAGAGCCAAACATATCAAGAATCCCCAAAATGCCCCTAATCCCACCACCACCCCTTTATCCCCGTTCAGTGGAGCGTACTCGATTTCGCTCGGCTTCGGTACACCACCGCAAATCATACCCTTCGTTATGGACACTGGCAGCAGCTATACTTGGTTTCCTTGGTACCAAAAGATACCTCTGCAGAAACTGCAGCTCCGTTTCGACGAAAAGCATTTCGTCTTTTATACCTAAGCAATCATCATCGGCGAAAGTTGTCGGGCGCGCTAACCCCAAAATGCGTTTGGGTTCACAAATCATTCGATCCAAACTCGAGTTGTCAAGATTGTCAGTTGGACTAAAACAAACTGTACGCAAATTTGTCCTCCGTATATAATTCTCTACGGATTAGGCTCCACCGGTGGGATAGCTATGGCGGAACTCTCACAATGCCGCACGAGAAAATCGAAGATTTTCTCGTGGGCTGTTCCGTTTTCTCATCGAATCAGCCCGCGGGTCTCGCGGGGTTCGGTCGGGGAAACTCGTCGTTTCCGAGCCAATTAGGGCTCAAGAAATTCTCTTACTGCTTGATTTCGCACAAATTCGATAACACTGAAAAAAGCAGCTTCTTGTTGATGGATGCAGAATCGGATTCCGGTTCAAAGACGGAGAATTTCAGCTACACGCCGATGCTGAAGAATCCGGTGGGGTCTGAAAACAGCGCCTTGTCGGATTACTACTACGTTGGTCTGAGGAAAATCACGGTCGGAGGGAAGAAAGTTGAGATTTTGCACAAGGATTTGTCACCTGATTCTAATGGCGACGGCGGGACCATCGTCGATTCAGGGACGACGTTTACTTACATGAATCAGGCGGTGTTTGATTTGGTGGCGGATGCATTTTCCGACCAGGTGAAAGATTACACAAGTGCGGAAGATGTGGAGGCTGTTACAGGGCTGCGGCCGTGCTTTGACGTTGCCGGCCACGTGACTGTGAAAATGCCTGAACTAAAACTCCACTTCAAAGGCGGCGCAGAGATGGCGCTGCCGCTGGAAAATTACTTCATTGCTGTGAGCGACGGTGGGAAGTCGTTTGTCTGTTTGACGGCGGTGACCGATGATACTCTGCTGGGGCCGGAGCTTGTCGGCGGGCCGTCGGTGATTCTGGGTAATTTCTTGATGCAGAATTTTCATGTGGAATTTGATCTTAGGAACGAACGGTTTGGATTCAGGCAGCAGTATTGCTCGTAAGATGAAGAACTAGATTTAATGATAAAAAAAACACTAATTTATTAAACGCTATTTTCATCTGCAAAATGTTGATAAATATATTTGATTTCTTGGTTGTAATTTTTTTGATTTTTCAATAAGAGAAAATATTCATTTAGGCACACAAAAAATATATAATATATATAATGTACATATATATTTTACAAACATCAAGTGTAGTTCCAAAAATACAAATCAAGATGAAAACTTTAGTGCAATCTTCTGATTTTAGGCTGCATTGTTCAAAAAGATTGCAAAATTACGACAAAAAAAAAAACGAAAATTTCCGGGCTTCTTTGTTATAGGCTATGTCAAGACTTTCAAGAAGTCTTGGTCGAATTCCACCCTCTCCCTCGACCACGACCCGTGCCCGTATTCGGATACTGGGGCCCGCTGGAGCTCTGTCCATAGTCTTTTCGCCAGCTGTCAACAGAGTCGGACCTCGATTGCAGATTATTTAACCTCCAATTTCCACTCGTACCGTAGGTCCGACCACTCAGGCCCGGCCCGAAATTGTTTCTCACTTGTGGGGGCCTATACGTTGACACGGGCCCGGGCCCGGGCCCTTGATTGCCTCTTTTGTCCTGAGATATTTGGCCTCTGCCTAAACTGAATCCTTGACCAGCAAATTTAGACGTTATCGCGGGGACACGGTTTTTGGCCTCGATTTTCCCATCTATGGTCTGGTTTTATTGGTCTATGATGATTCAGATACCTATATTATTATGTATGTCACAATTATTTTCATTTAATCGAGAAAAATGAATGTCTTGTTGTGAAATAATTCCCATTAGCTAATGTATATAGTGCAGTATATATATAGTTAAAATATATGTATATCTAATACACTATATAATATATAATATAACTATATGTGTAGAGAGAGAGTGTGTGCGTGTGAGTGTGTGGGTAGAGAGATAGTGTGTGATGAGAGAGAAAGAGAGAGAGAGTAGAGAGAGAAAGTAATTTTATTAATTTGTGAATATTTTTACACGTGTAGTATAAGAATTGGGAGAACCAATTTTCATCTCTTTCTCTCCAAAGACTACATCTATTTATATATTACAAACATGCCTACTCATCTAGACACTTGGCAAAATTATAGGTAGTGTATTACTCAAATAGTGCCACATGCCCTTATAGGTGTCCAATTGCTAAATACCCATGTGCAAGTCCACAATATTATAACACTCCCCCTTGGACGTAGCACTATTGTATCGACTGAATTGATGCCTCATTAAAAACCTTAAGCCCGAAAACCCAGTGGGAAAAACCGATCAGAAGGGAAAAAGAGTGCATGATTCAAATTCAAGTCGTGTGCATAAGCTGCCTCGTTAAAAACCTTAGCTGGAAAACCCAATGGGATGAAAACCTGTCGTAAGGGGAAAAAGAGTGCAGCGCACTATTGCTCCCCCTTAAATGAGCAATATAAGCCCCCAATATGGGCTATCAATCAATTTGTAGGTTGTCTCATTAAAAACCTTGAGCTGGAAAACTCTATGGCAAAAAACCAGTCAAAAGGGAAAAATAGTACAACACATCATAGCATTATGTGCTCCCTCTGAAACAAATAATATAGGCCTCCGAAATAGGCTATTCAAAGATTTATAAGTTGCCTCGTTAAAAACCTTATGTCGGAAAAACCGCATGGGAAAAAGACCGAACAAAAGGAAAAAAAAAGTGCAACAGATCATCATTCCGTCTTTGCTGTATGCATTTTAAATCCACAGGAGTTTAAATAGCAAAATTCAGTGAACCATAAAGATAAGCCATTAGAACGTCTGTTAGACGTAAGTCCATTCCCTCATGGAGAACCCTAGGAAACGAAAATGATTGTATTCATTACGTGTGAATACATCTAATCATAGTTAATCCCATATCATGATCAGGAGAATCCTTGAGTAATAAGGCCGACATTATATCGTACACTTTTGTTGTCATTATTCATCTAACGAACAAAAGCCCATTTATATCTAGGGAATTTATATTGTTCGGAGTTGGTACCATTAATCCGTATTTATTTCGTTTCTCTGGGAAAGCCAATTCCGATTTAATCGCTTTCTCGCATTTAGGCCAAACTTGGCTCTACCGACATTCTATTGTTTTGAACGTGATTCACTGGATTAATCTTCCCGAAATTTTATAATTGTAATTGCCCTTAGTCGAGAGATTAATCTCTACATATTTATCCGGAGCATGTTTATCATGACTCGTTCATTCAGTGGATTTAATTAATCCATATGATCGTAAGCATGTGCTACAAGGCATTGATATTTATCCAAAGTACTGCACAAATCTCATCAAAATTATTTTGATCGAGTTTCTCCGGCACTATCCATTCTCATATGTACGGGGTATAGTAACTTGTGCAGAAAACGTGCAAAATCATATTGCATGAATACAATAAACACACGCGAGACCATCTATAAGATGCGTCTGACAAAATTATAAATATTTAAGATATTGGTCCACTTGAAAGGTTGTATTGGTCCATAAGTATTATCAACCATTTCGCACTAAAGGTTATATAACGAGATTTCTATAAATTACAGAAATTCTCTTTGGACATAAGGATCCTTATATCGTACGAATGTCCGTAGTATATTCTTTATTTCTAGCCACCTTAATATTTTATGGGCGTCCCCATATTAACATGTCAAAACCTGAATATTTCAGGATTAACCAGTTTATATGACATGGTGGTGTACGAATTGAAAATTCGAATTAGGACACACTACAATACAAAATCTAAGGCTTTTTATATCATAAGCAGAACAATTGTTTATTCCCGGAGCCATAATCTCTACGGGAAGTAATTTAGTTTTACTTCGTGCTTTGCGCAATATCACACTCAATTAATTTTAGAATATATTAAATTGTCAATT